AACAGCTGCTATTTATGTCATATCAGTTCGTTGTTCCTAAATTCTATTTTATTTCATTTTTAATGACGATAAGGAAAGTGAAAGAAAAAGGTGAGATTGTTCGAACCTTCTCAAATCAGCTGCGAAGGGGAGTATATGTTTTCCATAAAAATATTGCTGATCTCTATCGAAGAACAAAAGGGGTGTTTATTACAGGTCTTACACTTTTTCGAAAGTGTTCAATCTGAGTAGCAAAAAATCCAAAGAAAAAAACACTGTAAGCATATTTATCAATTGAGATAACCCTATTGGAGTTGTAACCTTATGCGTTTCTAATTAAATAACAAACCAATAACGAACCAAACACTATATAACCAATGGAGCCAAAATTGGTCATGAAGTGACGTATATTCCATCTTGATCAAAGAAATCGACTGTAATAGTTAAAGCAGGGTGTATCTACCCTAAGAATTATGCTTTATATCCTGTAACCCTGACATGATTAAGCACAAAGGCCTCCGTTGCCTCCGATCATGAACCATCATTTGTAAAGATAAGATTCATTGTAAATGAATATTTAAATGGACATATTACTAAATGAAAATTGAAAGTAGAAACCTGATTAATCTAAAAAAAAGAAATAGAAACCTGATCTTTTATGGTTTTGAAATATGATAATAGTGACAATGACTCTTTGTATACGTCATTAAGAATCTACATATGGCCTGTCAGAGTAGATGTGTGAAAATATATAAAAAAAAACATGATGATCAACGGATAGGACAGCTTGCCTTTATGCATGAGACCTAAACCACATGAGAGTGACTGAGAGCAATGGAATTTGTGAAGTAGCTACTTGTATGAGAAAGTAAAACTCGTAGATTTCCTGAAAAACGAAACATGTATTAGATAGTATTAGAACTTAATCCTGGCACATAAGTAATTGCAAATCAAAACTCCTTATCTATTATCATAAGGATATTTTTGAAGTAACCTTTACTGTTCGCACAAACAAAGAAGGAAAAAAACCTGTATATATATATATATATATATATATATATATATCAACAAATTGATATCACTTGAACATGAACATGCCGCTTCATAGGCTGAGTCATAATATTAGTTTTTTGTGTGAAAATTAATAGAAAAAAAACATCTCAAGAACCGATAATTTTTGGATATTCTAGTCTAACAAAAAAAAAACGAAACGATATGAGAAGCTCATGAACATTTAAAAGTTAAAACAAACTCTCTGATTATTTACTTGCTTAACTTCAGCGTTGTCTGACTCTGACTCCTTTCTCATTTTCTAGCGGCTAAAGTTTGATGGAGAAAAATCTGAGTAAGAGAATAGGAGATAGAGAATAGCAAATTAGGGGAGTTGCTTAGTTGGGAATAGTAATGGAGATTACTAATAACCCGATTTAAATAATGGAATGGGGAAGGTGAGGAAGATGAACAGAACTTTAAAGATTTTAAACAAAAGAAATGGAAAAAATGTAACTGAACAGAAGGTAAAGAGTCCAAAGCGCGCAAAAGATTTAAATCTAATTTAAAGCAAGTTTTTAATTGTCTGTGACTATGTTTGAAATATTTTTTCTTATTAGATATAAACTTAGAAATGTTGGATTTGGTTTGATTAAAAGTTTGGGTTAAAATATTTAGTTTGCTGCTGATGTGGCAAGTTTAGAAAGCTTTTTAAAAAGCTGAGGTAGATGGCATGAGGAGCCCTAAAAAGCTCCTTTCATTTAGTACTAGGGATTGAACCGCGCTACGCACGGTTTGTATTCAATATTTCCATTTATAGTGTTAAATCTAATAACCCAAATTATTTATTGATAAGTATCTAATTTTTTAACTTGTATTTTTACATAATTTTATTTTACAATTCTAGGTCTTAAGTTTGTTATTCATATTGTTTCAATAATATTTCTAAGTGACTTTTCAGTGATATGCACTTAGATAATTTTAACAAATATTTTTTTGATAAGATCAGTTTACTTAGATATAAATTAATCTGTTCTTTTAATTTGTTTTATTCTCCAATTATCCAAAATCTAGTTTAATCAGGTTTAGAATAATAATGAATCCATAAAAGGTCATTTGTTTTTTTTTAATTTGGATTTACCAATTTAGAATTATTTATTGGTATAAAGTTTCAATTTGATATCGAAAATTTTAGATAAATGGTTTAGAATACGTTTTTTTCCATTCTGATAAACTATTTTGTATATGTTTCTGTTTTGTTAGTTTTATAAACATTGACATTTCGTAATTCACTTTGGTAATTGTTTCTTTTATTAATTAAGATTTGATAAAGTGATTTAATTGGACTATGTTTAGAAAATACCGACAAATTACATCAAAAATATTATTAATTCAAACTATTGAATAGAGACAATCTAAACATCATACAATAACAACTTATATCGACACACTTAAGCAAAGAGCAACGCAAAATAGAGTCACCATACCATAATCTTGAAAACGATTCCATACCATACTCGATAATAACAGAGGGTTCATGTCAACAGCTCGTTGATGTGCATATATGGCAGCACGAATGTTCTTCATCTCGACATATCCATGGTACACCAGAGTCCACGCAGATAAGTACTTCTGGTTCAGTTCGAAAGCTTTCCATAAGAACATGACTGCATTTTTTTTGTTGCCATTTAAACTGTAATAGTTTCCAATGACGCAGCAAGACTCATGTCTATAATTATCAGTTAAAATACTTGTTTGCAAGGTAACTCTATGACTGCTCTGGACTTCAACATTTAGAGCTTATAAGTAATTAAAAAAAAATGAAAATACCTTGCAAATAGTCGTAGTCACCAAGGACTCACTGTGCATTTTGATTTCTTGGCAAGAAAAATCTCATTCATCTAGTAGTTTCTTAGAATGATAGCTACTCATAATAGGAAATTAGGAATCAGTGTACATACATATGCAAAGACTGCAGCTCTAAGTAATCACACTCCAGTTATACGTATAGCTATTGACAAACACAGAATATTGGCATAAGCAAGACTATTTTCCTTTACTGCATATATACAGAATGAAGACTCTAAAATAGTTGGAGAATCATGAGATGAAAAGCACAGACGTACAATTGCATGCAATCACTTTGTTTAAGAACGCTGATTCTAAATTTTACTCCGTCTCTACACAAAAGGAGATTCCAAATTCTGAGATGCTTAGTATGGCACATGGGATAATCAAGAAATCAAAAGCAGCAACTTAAAGGGAACATAAATGCGAGCAACAAAAGAGGAAATTTGATCCTTTGACTACAAACAAATCTTGGACATGATGATAAGAGAGTAACTGTGATCTTTAGGCTGTTGCAGGAAAGTTAAAAATATAGCAAGTTGATTATATGAACAAACTGTTTTTAGATATAGGTTTTCAGATGTAAAGCTGGTTTATTTTGTAAGTTAAGGTTATAACCTGGACGGCTGTTTTGTAGACAACATAATTTTTTGATTACCTATATAGATTTTTGGCATATTCAGCATAGGAGAGAGGCATGGCTACTCGTTTCTGCTAACCTCTAACTAACATATGAAAAAGAAAACAAAGCAAAAAGTGAGCAAATAATCTAGAAAACTCTCTCAATTAACAAAATCATACTTATCAAGCATCTTATAAAAGACACTAAATCATGGATTTTAGTGCCCAAAATAACCTCTTTTAATCCATATAATTGATGAACTACAGAAGTCAATGATAAAGCAAGATGGTTATGTACTACATGGACGTAAGACAAATAGTTGGCAAAAATCGAAAAATAAAAAAAGTAAATCACCAGTTTATTAATTACTATCTGAAATCTGGTATACTCAAAGCCATATATACCTGTAGCTAACCTATGTGATGGTTGATGTAGATGCACCAACATATTTTTCTCTTCACAATCTAGCTTCTTTCGATAATCCTCTTACTCACTTGTCATGTAAGATATCCATCAGCCATGCAGCTAAGACATTGTGCCATAATCCTCTTTTCCAATCCGCTTTATCCCAGCAGCTCACTTGCATTCTCTTATCTACTCAGTTAGCGCTGATTCGGAAGAGTATTATTCTCAGTTTTGAGAGTTCCCTCATGTTCCATGTAAAGGAATCACCATATATTCAGAGATTAGGTTAGCGACTGATTATATCTATTTTTTTTTTGTTATCTTACCACTACATGAGGACGATGGTCCTGCTACTCTGCCATCTTATTCTCCTTGCTTCTACATTCTTTCTCGTTCCCGATCAGCTTCTTCTCCTCCCTTGACCGGTTGTCTTTGTAGAAATCTTTGAGAAGTTTTTTTTTTGGCTCCAAGTAAACCTTGTTCCCTAACAGATCTATTTCGTGAAGACTAACCTGTGGCTGGTTCATCCATTGAACTCTCTCGAGAGAGGTAATCAGAAATTAGAGAGTTAGAATCGAGAAAAAAGTGACGATTGGAAGATGAATTGTTTTGAGGGATAAATAAATGATACCAAAGAGTTAAAGGAAGATGGATCATCGTTACAATGAAAGTGGAGAGAATTGGGAATGTTTGAGAAGAGAAATTGTGAAAAAGAAGGAATGAGATCAAATAAGCTTTGGTGCTTATGTCATGTAGTGTTTCCTCTAAAAAAATATATATAACAAAATGCTGTATGTCCATAATATCTGGGTTTGGCCCAAAACTAATTTTGAACTTTTTTTCATAGATTTTTAAATTGCTGATGTGGCACGATTATAGAGAGTTTTTTTTTTGACTGAGCTGGATAGCTTAAGGAGCCCCAAACAGCTCCTTTTATTTAGTATAGATAGATTAATATTACTTTCTCTTAGATGTTAATTTACAAGATATACAATCCATTGGATTTTTCGAATATATTCAGCTTTAATCATGTTTGTTTAATTTTTTTTTTTAAAATTGATATTGTTAAGAAACACCTAAGAAATTTAAACAAATTTAAAAGTTTTTTTTGTCAAATTTTTAACTGGTTGCATTAACTTCAAAAAGTTTTACAGAAGATACAAACGACCACAAGAAACCAAACAACCAAACAGAAGAAAGCATTATCTGGTTTTCATCTGTTAATCAATCTCACCTTAAAAACAACAGTTTTGAACTTGGCATTTGCTTTGAGCGTGATGGGTTTCTTAATCATGCACATTTCTCTGGTAGCTGGCAACACCACAACTATAGAGGTAATTCCTTTTCTCTATTCTCTCGAAATGAACCTTTTAATGTCTCACTGTACATCACATGGCCAAAGCTCAAAGCTTCGTGCGTATTTGGGTCTTTAGAGTATTCGTGCGTCCCATATTTATAGCTTTTGAGCTTCCCTTTGCAGAAATGAGAATTTGGGTCTTTAGAACTCTTCACAGCTTCGAGTTTTCTTTTTCTTTGCTTGAATGAGAATTTGGGTCTTTACTCTTTAGCCTCACATAAGTCTTCTTCGTGCAGCCCATGGCTAAAGCTTTGTGCTCTCTCATCTCTTTCCTCATAAAAATTTCTTGGTGTTGAGTTGTGAGCACTGAGCAGGCAGATGAGAAGAAAACCAGTGCAAAATAGCGGTATGACCTCAGTAGAAAGAAAAACTTCGAACAGGTTATTTAGCTGACATAATGTCTTCTGAATTACAAGTTCTAAGTTCTGTTTTTTTCACTCCCTCACATTAACGACTTTGATCTTATTAGGTATTTGGAATGGATAAGAGATACTGGTTCATCCCAGGATACACAGAAGAAGATCTAAAGCGAATGCCGGAGCTGCAGGGACTTGAATACCCTTCAAAACACGACTTTGATTCCCATTAATGCTGAAGAAGATGACTCTGATCATCATCATCATCCCAATGTAAAACAACAATACGTAGAAAACAGAGAGACCCTGGTAATGACATTTGATGGAGAAATCTACTAACTTTTGAAGAATGATGCCTTTCACTTCTGGTAGTGTTTTCCCACGGGGACCAAAAACGTCATTTTAATTATGGGTTTTGTAATGGCGGAGGATTTCTACTTAGCTTTTGTTGGTTACACATTTGTTCATCTTCTTAAATAGAGTTTCATATTTATGATAAATCTTCTTACCAATTAGCTCTTGTTTTAAACAACACAGATTGTTTTCAATTTTATTTTTGAGTTTTTTTAGAAAAATCTATCGATATAGTAACAAAAATATTTTATATTTTATCAAAACCCAATAAAGATGCTAGTCAGAAATTTATATTCTTTTTGTTCAATATTAGTTTTTGATAACAACAAAAAAAACAATACTTTTGGTTTTTATATTAATAAATGGAAAAAATCTGACGTGAATACCTAAACTAAATCCTTAAAGATTGCCAGCCAGAATTTAATTTCCATAAAGGAAAAAAATACTCTGTTTAACATAAACAATTCGTTGAACTTTTGAAGAGGTTTTATACAATTTGGTTTTGTCAAAAAAAAAAAAGTTTTGTCATGCTGTTATAACATAATCCCTTAAGAGAAAGCATTAACCAAAACAAGAACGCAATAACAACAAATCAGATAATATCCATATCAAGGCAAAGTAAATCTCAAACATACAGAACCTTTTGTCACATAAACTCTCAAACGATAAAAACACAAAACAAGTACGATAAACAGTAACCCGAAATTCAAAACCATATAAATAGTTGATACTGAGTAATATGGATAGACTGGAACCAAGTTTTGATCAGAAGCATTCGATACTAAGATCTTCGTTACCCTTAGGAAGTTGCATTAGCTTGGCCACAGCTGCTTCCACCTCTATCTTCTTCTCCGGTGGAGACGACGAAATCTCGATCATCATCTTCTTAGTCACCATCTTTTGCATCACAAAATGGGAAGCTAACGCAACTTCTTCCTCATTCGAACCGTCGAAATTATACATCCGCATAACAGAAACGCGGAAGACGGCATTAGGGAACGGTTTTGCATCCTCCCACAATTTTTCATGTGCTCTCCCGTTAGTAGAACATGCACCTTCTTTTCCAGCAGCATTGTTCTTCTAAAAGGTAAATATGATAAATAAACGTGAGAGGGAAGTTATCAAATTTTATACAATTAATTAGAATGAAACCATGACATGAATGTACCTTGAACAAGATCTCAAGCTCTGTCATTTCCCTAGCGTTCCACATAAGCAGAACTTCCTTCAGTATCTCCACTTCTTTCGGATTAGTTACATCTAAACTCACTGAGAAAGATCCAAGCCGGGACATATGAAAAAAGACGCTCTCGCTCACTATAAGCGCATGCCATGTGTTTTTCTTCTCCTAAGATTCATATACATCACATCATACGTATGTCAAACTATTTATATTAAATTATTTTTCTAAATATGCACATTGTTTGTGTTAAGTAAGCGTGTACCTGAGCGAGATATGACACATTGTAGCTGAGGTGAGCATGAGAAGAACAAACCCAGTAATCTCTCTTAAACTGGCGGATGTTGGGGGCAGCAAGGATGAAGTCTTCTTCCTCACATTCGATAAACTTGATGTCGAGAACATCTAGACAAGCTGCATACACTTCGATCTTTTCAATCCTATAAGCGTAAGTCACTTGCAAGAACTTCAAATTGTTGTTCTCGATCTTCAGCACATCACCTTGGGTTAGGTAACTGACTCGCAACACAATCACCTCGAGGGAGGGGCAAGCTGCTAAAACATTGGTAAGGACAGTGCCCTGGGTGATGAAAGAGTTTACAAGCTTGAGGGTCTTGAGATTCGAGCAATTTATGAAGGCACGTGGACCTAATAGAGTGAATCCACAAAGTGACAGTGAAGTGAGGCTATGATGCGAAAATGCATCTCGGCGCAAGCGGAGCAAAGTTTTTGCTTGGTAGCGTTCATTGATTCCATGATAGTTGTGGTTTACAAGTGTGAGATCTTTAGTGTCTTTCATACGAGGCGCTATGTTGATCCAACTTTCGAGCGTACCATTTTCGCCTTGGGATAAGTAATGGTGGATAATGCAGCTCTCTAGGGGGCCACGGTGATTCTTAAGAGTCTGCAGAACACAAAATGATTAGAAACTGAAAAAAATTTGTCAATTAAAACCTATATATAATCTTTAAGAAATATATATATACACCAAATATCAACAAAAGTTAAATTTTGTTAGTATGTACTCTATGTGGAGTACACGCATCACATCATATCATTTCTTTCTAGATTCTCATTCACTATGGTTCTTTAGTTACCTACCATCAAATCTATTGATTATAAGTCACAGTCATTACTAACATTCAAATCTATTTATCATATCTAAAGGGTATGGTATTGATTCATAGATCCAAAACTACTTTCATGATTCATCTATCCAAGCATCAGTTTATAAGCTGACCCATTTATAAAATTTTTTTATAAACAAAATTTTCATACATAAAACAATTAAAATGAAACCCTAAAAAAAAAAAAAATAAATAAATAAATTAACAAACCTTGGTTATCGAGTTAGCCAACCAAATAGAAACTCTGTGCATATTGTTGATGTGGGTTCTAATCAAGACATTTCTCATATCTAATATGAGATGTGGCCTCCATCTCCACAAATCCATCCATCGTGGTGATACAAGACTTGTCATCACTGCTTTTTTTAGTGGACAATCTTGAAAGGATGTCATGCAGTAGTTCATCTGAAAGTTTGCTTATCCTATCATTATTATTAATGATACGATATTGAAATTTTTTACGTCTTGCCTCAAGTGATGATAATGATAATAAGCGCGTTATTATGGTCATTGCGCTAGAAGAGCATGAGAGAAACCTAAGCAAGAGAGAATAGGCTGAACTTAAAGTTGAGAAAGGGAGAGATCTGAAAATGATAATGGTGTTTATGATAAGATATGTATGGATGAATTGAAAATTGATATTTGAGTGTTTTTATTAATTTTATTTATTTTGAATAATTTATTTTATTTCCTTTCAATCTTTTCATTTCTGAATTTCATTTTTAATATGTTTCCTTTTTTTGAAATATATATAAATTTATAGAAATAAATTATTAATGAAAATATTTTTTAATTGCAAAGTATGTATTGTTTTAATTTGCAAAATAATAAATTGATTTTTTTATTAGACATACATATTAGAAATTAATATTAGATGAGAGAGATGATGTGTGACATTTTTAAAAGTTTATAATTCTATGTTTTCCTTTTAGGAATAATTCCATAAAAAATATCTAAAGTTTGAATATTTATAAATTTAACTATTTCCAAAGTTTGACCATTTTTTATATTTTTTTTAAATTAAACTATTTTCAAACTTTGACCAAAAAAGATCAGTCCCATCACAATGTTTTTGCTTACAACATTAAAAAAGAATTTAAAAATCTTCTTCTTTTTTGGGCTAATTACCCAAATTATTTATATTACTAGGTATATAACTAGCGCTACGCGCGAGTCTGTATTAATATTTTTGTTTATTTTTTTAGCTACTATCTTTAAAATTATTAAAAATTATATATATATTTATAGAAATTTTCATTTATATAAGAGAATTTAATATATAATATGTAATTTATTCTATTTTTATTTATAAATTTAAAAAAACTATTAGGTAAAATAATAACAATGACATATATCGAATAATCTAACTTTGATGTACATATAAATTCGATTTAGAAAAATATAATCTTGCTAAGATTTTGGTATTATTTTCTATTTTATATAGAATTTATATAGTTCTTTTTTTTTAAAGGTTTATGTGTTCAAATATTTAGTTTTTTATAGAAAGTCTTATTGATGTTGTGTACCACTATATATATAATCCATGATTCATGTTGATTCACATTTAATTTTGATACGAAGCTGTAATGATAATGCACGACCATTTTTTCCTTCTCCATCATGTCTTCCTAGAGTTTTATGTTATATTTTTATTCAGTTTTCATTGTTTTAATTGTTAAATCAAGTTGTTGTAGATTTTTCTAAATTGATAATTGATAATGGTTATTTTTTTTATACATGTATTGTTAATTGTTAATTTTTTTTATTTAACTTTTAAATTTTTAAACCATATTAATATTTTCTGATTTAATAAATATGTTGATTTGGATTAATCAGATTGAATTTACCTTTTTTGTTGGACATAATTTGCTAAATTAACTTTTAATGTTTTAATTATACTTAATAATTTTTGGTTTGATTTAAAAGCTGATGTGGACCCATTAAATCAAGTTTTTCTATCCTAATCATACTTAAATTTTTTTTATTTAATGAATATGCTGATGTGAACCAATCATATCGAGTTTTTTAATTTCATGTGGACGTCCTTAATGCAATATGCCATCAACTTTTATATATTACTAGGCTTTTAATTCGTGCTACGCGCGAGTCTTTATTAATAATTTGGTTTATTTTTTTGGCTAATATCTTTTAAATTATCAAAACTATAATATATTTGTAGAAATTTTCTTTTATATAAGAAAATTAAAACATAATATGTAGTATTTCCTATTTTTGTTTATAAAATTATAAATCTTATTAAGTAAAATCATAGTAATGACACCTAACGAATTATCCAACTTTGATGTGCATATGTTTGATTTAGAAAATGATTTCCTTACTAAATTTTTGGTGTTTTCTTTTGTATCCTTAGGATTTCTATGGTTCTTTTTTTAAAAAGGTTTATATATTTAAATATTTAGTTTCTTTACTAAATGTCTCACTAATGTTGTGTATATATACATATATAATATATGATATATGTTGATTCAGTTTTACTTTTGTTAGTAAGCTATACTAATCATGTAAAACTGCCTTTTGCTTCTCCACCAGATCTTCTACGAATTTTAGGTTATATCTCTATTCAGTTTATAAAATCTGTTTTATTTGCAGTCAACTATTTGTTAATATTTGTTTTACACATGTAAGATGATGTTGAGACTTCACAGTATCACTGTTTTTTTTATCTTTTCTGTGTTTATTCATGTTTTGATTTGAATATTTTATCTTCATACATTCCCATTTGAATTTGATTCATAACTTTGTCATATTATATTATTTTAATAAAATTTTAGAGGATGTTGTTCATATGTTGTTCATGTTGACTAAGTTATAAGTAGTAAATATGTATACAAATCAGACTTTATTACTTATTATATTTTGAATGTAAGGTTACTTGTGTAGTATTTTACTTTGTTAATTTTTCAACCAGACGCAACCAAAGTATTAATCTTTGTAAATTTAAATAATATGTTTGATTTAGAAACTTGTATAACCTATTAAAACTTTATATGGTTATTCATAGTCAACACCAATATTTTAGAAATCATGAATGTTTTTGGAATTATATTTCAAACTAATTTTCTTCTTAGATCTTGTTTTTTGTTATTTTAAATATCTTCAATGGTAATTTTATATTTTATTTTAATTATTTAATTTTCTACAGATTTGATATACGTAAGACATATATATTTTTAATTAATCTCCTTTGTTATTGATTTTTCAAATAGGTAGCATTTATATTAATCTAATATTTTTTACATAAATATTTTTTCTTTGTTAAATTTACTTTTTAAATTAATTAAAATGCTATTTTGACATACTATAAATGGTTATTCCAAATTTTAAGTGAACTTCTTTCAAAAGGTTATACCATCATTTGCTTTTTTTAGTTAATATTTGTTTGGTAGTTAGCCTAAATATCAAGCTAATTTTACTTTATACGACTTATTCCTTTGATAATTTACCTCTCTTGATATAGATTTTTATTTTATTTGAACACACCATTGTTTTTAAAATACTGATATATTGAAGACACAAATTTTTTGTTAGTTAAATATTTTCATATGAATTTTTTAAGTAGTTAGTCAGATATCAAGTCAATATATTTTTAAGTGTTTTTTTTTAAAAAAAATATTTTGTAAAACTGAATTTTCGTTTTAGTTTTTTAGTTAATTAATTTTTTAATATTGATTTCTTAAATAATTAGCTTAGATGTTTATATTATTTTTGTTAGTTAAGTTTTTTAGTATTATTTAAGTTTTTTTATTCTCTTACTAATTCTGTTTATATTAATTTTGTTAAATAAATAACATAGATATTAAGATAATATCCTCTTTTTTTGTTAATTTAACTTTCTCGATATGGACTTTCATTTTAATTGTATTGATATGTTGTAAGAAATAATTTATTTTTTCGTTTTTGTTAGTTAAACATTTTTATTTTGCTTTATTCAGTAATTAGCATAAAGTATGATTTTTGGTTTGTTAAGATTTTTGTATTAATTTTTTAAATATTTTCCTAAAAATTATAAGTTTTAGATGAATTTATTTTTTGATAATTTAAGATGAATGTTTTTTTGGTAGTATTGATATTTTTAAATAACAATTTTATATGTTTATATGAAAATTTAATCTTAATATTTTTTCTAAATGAATTACTCATTTAAAATATATATGCTAAATTTCTTTTTTAATTTAAATTTTTTCGTTATTGATTTACGTATTTGTTTTTGTTAGTTTAGTTTTTGTGACAATGAGTTTCTATTTTATTTTCACAATAGATTTAGACTTTTGACATAAATTTATTTTATATAGTTAAAAAATTATCTTAATTTTCCATTCTATTGTGATAATTTTATATTTTTGTATGTTTTAATTTATTTAAATTATTAATAATATTTTTTATTTTTTATGTTTAGTAAAAAATGCGAATATAGACTAATCAGACTGAGTATATATATCATATGTGAACGCTCTCATTAGCCTAAGACATCAACACAGACCACAACTAATATATTTTAAGTTAGTAGTTCAGATTTTAATTGTTTATCGTGATTAAAATTATCAAATAATTTAATTATGGTTTTAAATACAGTTTTTAATAATTTTGCTCAATATATATGATTTTTCTTTCATAATTTATTTATATGTTAATTTACCTTTTTATTGTTAATAGAAAAATAAGATCTATTTTCAAAACACTTTTTTATTAATAACTAATTTAAAATTTAGAAACTTTCCTAATAACAACAAAAATAAAATTAATTAAAATTTAGAAATTTTTCTTATAAAAATTAAAACGAATTAATTAATTTTAATATACAATATATAATTAACTAAAAATAATGATGGTGTGTACCAATAGAATTGAATTTTTAAATTTTATTAGGAAATTTTTTAAATTTTAAGTTAGTTATTAATAAAAAAGAGTTTTGAAAATAGATCTTATTTTTCTATTAACAATAAAAAGATAAATTAACATATAAATAGATTATGAAAAAAAAGCATATATATTGAACAAAATTATTAAAAAATGTATTTAAAACTATAATTACATTATTTTAAAATTTTAATCACGACAAATAATTAAAATCTGAACTGATAACTTAAAATATAACTAATATATAAAAGTTGATGGCATAGTGCATTGAGGACGTCCACATATGACGAAAAAAATTCAATCTAATTGGTCCACATTAGCATATTCATTAAATAAAAAAAATGTTAAGTATAATTAAGACGGAAAACTTGATTTAATTGGTTCACATCAGTTTTTAAATCAAACCAAAAAATATTAAGTATAATTGAAACATTAAAAGTTAATTTAACAAATTATGTCCAACAAAAAAAGTAAATTCAATCTGATTGATCCAAACCAACATATTTATTAAATTAGAAAGTGTTAATATGGTTTAAAATTTTAAAAGTTAAAAAAATTAACAATTAACAACACATGTATAAAAAAAAGTAACCATTATCAATTATCAATTTTAAAAAATCTACAATAACTCGGTTTAAAAATTAAAACAATGAAAACTGAATAAAAATTTAACATAAAAATCTTGGAAGATATGATGAAGAAGGAAAAAAATGGTTTTGCATGATCATTACAGCTTTCTAACAAAATTTAATGCGAATCAACATGAATAAGAATTATATATATAGTGGTACACAACATCAATAAGACTTTCAATAAAAAACTAAATATTTGAACACATAAACCTTCAAGAAAAAAAAAACTATAGAAATTCTATGGAAAACAGAAAATAATACCAAAATCTTAGGAAGATTATATTTCTCTAAATCAAATGTATATGTACGTCAAAGTTTGATAATTCTATAGGTATCATTGTTATTATTTTACCTAATAGTTTTTTTTAAATTTATAAATAAAAATAGGATAAATTATATATTGTATATTAAATTTTTTTATATAAATGAAAATTTCTATGAATATATTATATTTTAATAATTTTAAAGATAATAGTTAAAAAAAAATAAACCACACGCGAGTTATATAACTAGTGGATGATTAACGCTTGAACAAATACATCTCTCCATATCGATGATCGATGTGTTTAATCCAACGGCTAGGAAGCTTCTTCAAATCACCATTGGCTCCCACGTGTGCAATATCTAACCGTCTCCCAACGGGTAAAAACACCGAGCGCACGACACGTATGCCTCTTCTCAAAACACCGTGCCATTTAAGTCCAGGGATAAATTTATGGGTGGCGTTTTTGCACACCAAAACGGCAGCCCTTTCGCTCGTGTTCGCTAATCCCAACGCCTTAACGAACTCTCGGCGTTTCGAGTCCACCACCATGAAATCCACGCCGGAAAGTCTCTCCACCACATCCTCCGCCGATTCTCCAACCACTACTTCCGTCGCTTCACTCGCAAGAGCTCTTTTCATCACATTCTCGTACTCCGTTCTCGACTCCTCGTCGGGAACTATGCACACGTGTCTTCCGCACGTATGGATGGCCGCGATGGCGAGTCCGACGCTGGTGGCGATCGGATCTCCTCGTCTCCAAGTCTCGACGATCAGCCTCGTGTTCCATCCCGCCGCTTTAGCCGATAAATACTCAGCCACACTCGATTCTTTGTAGCTTTTACACTTCAAGAAGCACACATTAATTATATACACAAATTAAAAGTTAGATCAAGATTCTTAATTCACATACATCAAGAACGTCTAAAAAAACAACAATCATTTATTTCATACAAAAAGATCGTTTCAAGCAATCATGAAATATCGTTTTAACCATCGATTCAAATTGTTGTTCTCGATCTTCAGCACATCACCATGGGTTTGGGAATTGACTCGCAACACAATCACCTCGAGGGAGGGGCAAGCTGCTAAAACATTGGTAAGGAGAGTAGCCTGGGTGATGACACTGTCTAAAAGCTTGAGGGTCTTAAGATTCGAGCAATTTCTGAAGGCACGTGGACCTGATAGACTGAATCCACAAAGTGACAATGAAGTGAGGCTATGATGCGAAAATGCATCTCGGCGCAAGCGGAGCAAAGTCTTTGCTAACGTTCATCAATCCCATGGTAGTTATGGTTTACAAGTGTGAGATCTTTAGTGTCTTTCATACGAGTCGCTATGTTGATCCAACTTTCGAGCGTACCATTTTCGTATTGTGATAAGTAATGGTGGATAATGCAGCTTTCTAGGGGGCCACAGTGATTCTTAAGAGTCTGCAGAACACAAAATGATTAGAGACTGAAAAAAACTTGTCAATGAAAACCTATATATAATCTTTAAGAAATATATATACCAAATATCAACAAAAGTTAAATTTTGTTAGTATTTGCTCTATGTGAAGTACACGCAACACATAATATCATTTATTCTTTCTAGATTCTCATTCACTATGGTTCTTTAGTTATCTACCTTCAAATCTATTGATCATAAGTCACAGTCATTCCTAACATGCAATAAAATCATCTAATTCTATAGATCATAATTTATAATTTTAGCACAAATTCTCATTATTTAATCCTAAAATTTCAAAAAATTAGATAATATATCTAAGGGGTATAGTATATGATTCACAGACCTAAAACTATTTCATCTATCCAATCATCAGTTTATAAACTGACCCATTTGTGAATTTTCTTATATACAGAATTTCTATACATAAAACGATTAAAATGAAACCCTAAAAAAATTGATAAAGATAAATAAATTAACCAAATCTTAGTCATTGAATTGGTCAAACGAATAGAAACTTTGTGTATATCGTTGGTGTGAGTCTTATTTAAGACCTTTCTCATATCCAAGATGAGATGAAGTCTCCATCTCCATAAATCCACCCATCATGGTAATACAAGACTTGTCATCACCGCTTCTTTAGTGGACAATCTCGAGAGGATGTCATGCAGTAGTTCGTCTGGAAGTTTGCTTATCCTATCATCATTGTTAATGATACGATATCGAAACTTTTTGTGTCTTGCCTCAAGTGATGATAATGGTAGTGAACGCGTCACTATGGTCATTGTGTCAGAAAAGCAAAAGAGAAGCTTAAACAAGAGAGAAAAAAACTGAACTTAAGGTTGAGAAAGAGAGATATCTGAAAATGATAATAATGTTTATGATAAGATATGTATGGAAGAATTGATAGTTGATATTTAAGTATTTTTATTAATTTTATTAATTTTATTTTCTTTTAATCTTTTAATCTTTGAATTCCATTTTTAATGCATTTCTTTTAAAATATATATATATATAAATAAATTAATAATAAAAATATTTTTTAATTGCAAAGTATGTATTGTTTTAATTTACAACATAATAAAAAAAATTAAACAAAAATAAGCAACGATAATTTAAACAAAAATAAAAGGATAAGTGGGAGCTAACAATCAAAACTAAATAGAAGTTAATAAGCTTACTCGAAAAAACATTGTAAGATATGAATATCTCCCTTAAAGAAAATATAAAGATTGTGAGGGTAAAAGATATAGTTTTTATTGATTTAGCCGAAGCTCGAAGAGTACAGAAGTTTAGGTCGTCGAAAAAGAACGCCGACCTAAAACTTTAAGAGAGAAGAATCGAGATCTAAAGCTGAAAGCAGAAAGCTATTGTTTGCCCTAGGTCTCGAGTCCAAAGTTGTGAATGAATGATCTTCGAGGGAGGGGCTCTTCTTATATAGTCGTCATAGACCGCCTTGAGTCGAATCCTTCTCCTTCAGGATAAAGATAATTTTCTTTCTTTTCGGGGCTTATTTTCCTTTTCCTCTGCGATTTGAATATATCCTCGAATATTTCCATATTTCAGCACCAATCTAACTCCGGACGCGGAGGTAGGGCTTCAAATGGGCCTTTTATTAATTTATGAGGGGCTTTTAGCAAGGGGTACTAAACCCATCACTAACAATTAGTCCCCCCCCCTCCCAGTTCGATGATCTGGAGTGGCAGGTTAGGAGAACATAGAAAGAGACAGCTCAGTATAAATTGAGATCGGGACATTTCGAAGCACAGGGTGCGCGAAAGCTACTTCAATCTATACGAACTTTTGATCGGTATGGTTCAAGGTCGGAACTTGAACTGTGTATCGTAGGACGTGGTTCAAACCGCGTATGATAGGTCGAGCCTTATTATAGGTCGGGTTCGTTAGCTGCCTTTCCCAGGCCGAAATAGTCTCTTCGTCTTCTGGGAATTGACGCGTGTCATTCTTTTGAATATATTTAAGCTCGGAAAATATGAACCGTCGCAATGATTACGGGTTTCTCAAAAACCATTTTTGGTTTTTCATAAAAAGGGGACGAGGATCCTCATTTCTTCACTTCTCATCTCGCGAAAATCTTCAAATCAAGTTCGCTCTCCCTTCTCTCTTCTTTCTCTCTCTAGAATTTTATTTTCTTAGTCCGGTAGTCTTAGGGTAGATCGGGTCGTCTGTAGGAGCCCGTTCAGTTAGTAGAAGCCCGTGGCATCAATTATTTAGGTCGGGACCGTTTAAGTTAGCGAAGATGAGTCCTCGCAAGTCGTCCAAAGGAAAGGAAGTGGTCACCTCGCCGGTCGAATCAGAGGGCAGTGTTAGCTCGGGGTCGGAAAAATCTGGACGGATGTTTGCGCGCGCGATGGGAGTGAACTATGACGAGATGAAAAGAGACCAGAAGGAGCACGCGGCGAGGCGATTCGAGGAAGGACAGTTAGGTTTTTTGGCCCGGGGCGATGCCGGGCCATCGGCAGTACGAGTACCAATCGAGGTACCCGAGCTGAGAGATGAATCAGACGAGGCGGGAGTGCCGTCAATGTGTCGGATCGGGGCGACGGCAACGAGGTCAGGAGCACTAATGCCTTGGCTGATCGAGACGAGGTCGAGATAAAGGACGAGCCTATTAGCCTTGGCGCTTCAGAGGAATTATAGGAGAACATGATTCTCGACAAATATACTCCGGCTTCGATGAAGTTTTTGAGGCAATCCAAGAAGAACGCCCCGGGCTCTGATAACACCTTTGGCATAATCCCGACCCGTACTACATGGAAGTCGTTGAATCTGCTGATGGAAATGTGGAGAATCGGGCCCGAGATCAAATTCGTGGTTCCGAGTCCCGAGCAACGACCTTGGGACTCACCTCTGGGCTACATATGCTTGTTTGAACACTTCTTCCTCTATGCTCATCTATGGTTCCCACTGCCCCGGATTCGTCTGGAATACTGTGCAAGGAGAGGGATGCCGATCCTGCAGACCACACACGCCTGCATCCGTCATGTGGTTAGCTTGACGGTCCTTGCTCTGGAGAATGGGCTGCCGTTTACTACTGACATCTTCGAGGAGATGACCGATATTAAGCCTCAAGCGGGGAATACTCAGAACCGGAGTTTGTTTTATGTAAGAATGAAGAGGGGAATGAACATAGTCACTAAAAATGCGTCGAAGAAAATCGACAACTGGCGAGACTGTTATTTCTTCGTGAAGATTGACAAGAACACCGTAGTTGATACAAACGTCCTGATCTTAACTAGATGGGCCGATGTGATCGGTAGCTAGCCGATCTTTAGCCGTATAACGCACATACTTTTGTTTCCGTGTTGACTTTGTTTTCTTCTATTTGCAGAAATGCCTGCAACCCCGATCAAGCCTCCAGCGAAAGGTTTCTTCGAGCACATAAGCGACTTCTGGAGACTAAGTCACGAGACTTGGCCGTAATTCACCATCGAAAGGGTTTCGAGAGCTAGAGGTTAGTTAAGTAAATTGCATCCTGATCTTAAGAAATATTCCCGGGATTAACAAACTCGCCTTGGTGAGGTCCTCTTCGTCGAAAATCAAGGAAGATGCTGATTAAGCCAAGGAAGACGAGGGATTTCGCCAAGGAACTAGAGGAGTCTCTATTGGCTGCAAGTGGGAAAGACGCTGATCAGAGGTCGGGCGAGACAATCGTCTGTGTTGCAAACAACCCCGAAGTCAACTCGACCCAGGACGATGCTCCTCCAGAAGGGATCTCGGACTCGGGAGGAAAGAACCATGACACCGTCGATCCTATCCTTCAAGAAGTAGGGGGATGCTTCGGACGCGGCCGCTGTCAAGAAGATGTTGAAGCGGAAAAGGGCTGAGAAGAAGAAAGCAAAGGCTGCTAAGGAAGCAGCCAGTGCCGAAGAGGAGTCATGCGCTGAATTCATCCTGGAAGTCCTTCCTGCAATAGAGGCTAAGGATCCCGAGGCTAGGGTAGCAGATAAGTATGCCGTGCTCCCTGAACAGGTTGCAACGAAGGCCGGTGCTGAACCTACTGCTGAAAGACACAAGGCTTATTCTTGCCTGAGCAAGTATGTCTTCAATTTCGAGTATCGGGGCAAGGATCCAATTCACATGGACGAAATGTCCAGTGCCCAGTTAGCGTGGGAGATGAAGGATCTCGGCAGATGACTTCGTTCGAATGGCAAGATGGACAAGCTTTTCTACAAGGATGACTTCGTTCGAATGGCTTCGGCGGAAACTCGGGTAAGGTTTCTGTTTTTCATACCCGGGCTACCTGCGTTTCTACTAATTCTTTAGCGTTCTGAAAATTGATCCCGTTCTGTTTCAGGCCATAAACCTTACTACCGTGACGGTCGAGCGGTACGACCGTGCTCTAGAGAAGAGCCTTCTAAATGAGAAGAAATTAGTCGACGCTGCCGAGGCTAAAGAGGAAAAGATGGTCGGGATGAAGGCGAAAATCGATGCTCTCGAGCTTCGGGTGAAGTCGCAGGACGAAGAAAACAAGTCTCTTACGACCGAGCTAGCTTCGTCTTTGAGGAGGTTCGAGTCTGAGAAGCGGGCTCTTGTCGAGGCCCGGGATAATTGGGGTGACGCTTGTCACCAAGCTGGAGCAGAAAGTCACAATTCATTACAGATGAGTGACGGTCGTCACCAACCTGGTGACGATGGTCACCCATCCCAGAATGACGATTTTTTGACTGAAACTGCAGATAATGGCAAGGAGCAAGCATATAAACCCAAGATACCCTTCCCCAAGCATCCTAGAAGGTCTAAACAGGAGATAGAAAAAGCCAGATGCAAAGCTATGATAGATAAGCTGATGGTTGAGATGCCTCTTGTAGATGCAGTCAAGCTTTCACCAGCTCTAAGAAGGTATGTAAAGAGAATGGTTGTGAATGGTGTAAGTCCTGGGGAAGGAGCATTGCTTACTAGAGACATTAGTGCAATCCTCTTGGGTACAGTTCCAAAGAAGAAGAAGAAGGTGACTGTTTCTGAACAAGTCAATACCATCACTCAAACCAGAATTCCAGAGAAGCTATCTGATCCAGGGACCTTTGGTCTTGATTGCTCAATCTCTGCAGGACGTTTTCCCCACTCTCTATATGATCTAGGGTCAAGTATTAACTTGATACCTTTCTTTGTTGCTGCTAGACTTGGAATGACTGATTTCAAACCAGCTGGGATCTCTCTCATCCTAGCAGATCGATTTATAAGGACCCTAGAAGGCATGTTAGAGGATGTTCCTGTTAACATTGAAGGCTGCATCATTCCTACAGATTTTGTGGTTCTGAAATATACTGAAGAACCTAAAGATTCTCTTATTCTGGGAAGACCATTCTTGGCTACTGCTGGTGCCATCATTGATGTGAGAAAGGGGAACATTGAGCTTGATCTTGGTGATGTTGTCATGAACTTTGACATGGATAAGTTAAGAGGGAGTTCTACCATTGATGGTCAGACCTTTTCTGTAAAGACTTCCAGAGATGAAGAGAATGTCATGGAGCATTCAGAAGACACTACTGCTGAGTATGTCACTGAATTTGATACAAGTGGGCAAGTGAACAAGATGGCTGGTGAAGAGGCAATGTCTGAAGTTTCTTCAAAAGCTGTTGGGTTTGAGGATTGGAGTGAAGATCATATCTTCATGACTAGGCTTGAAAAAGAGGTTCCAATGAATGCCAAGTTGCTGGAGGAAGACGTGTTTGTGATGGAGGCAAGACTTGCAGAGCTGAATTGCATGAAAACTGCAGCAACTCGAACTGCAGAGTCAGTGACGAGCGTTGATAAATCATGGTTT